ATGCTGCATACGAAACCAATGTGAAAGATTTAGACAATTCCTGGCACAGATATCGCTACGAAAATGTCGAGCCTATGGTATCTAGCTTGAGTGATTACCAAGTATCTTCTTACGAGTAAGCTTTTCTATTAAATCCATTTTCCTCTGTCTAATAATATTTGAACCACTTGACTTTAAACCTTTACTTTTGCCCTTCAATTTGGCGACTTGGATACTTATTGGTAATTAATATGATTTGTTATATGAGATGTAAACTCTGCTTCTAAACAAAAAATATGATTTTTTTCTTAAATATCCATGTGCTTGCTTAATTATCAATAATTTTTTACCTCGACATCTTTTTGAATATCCAAGATGCTTCTTTTTGTGATATTTAAAAGTCGTTTAAAGTGGTGAATTAACTCAAAGGGGCATTACTCTATATCGATATAAAAAAGACTACCGTTCATAATCGGGCTTTCGTAGCTTACCCATTTTGAAAAAACACTAATTTACTTTAATAAACCACCCATTTGCGCTGCTATTAGATTTTTAATAAAGATTTTGAAGCCATCACATTTTATTATAACTTGATCTCACAAAATTCTATAAAATATTTATTTAATTATTTTCTTATTTAAAAAGATATTCTTATATTACTATGTCTGGAGCACTAAGGAATATTTAATCAGATCTGCTCTCTATGTACTTTACTTTTGCTTCACTGGTTTCGTTAAAGCCTTTGATACATCTTTTCCTAAACCCAGTTGATTCTTTAGCTAGAGGTCAATTTTAGGATTTCATTGTATGAATATATATAACTATTTAGCCTTGAATCAATACAAACATCCCAAGGTGGTTGCCATTCCGCATAATTACTGGTAGTCTTAAACACAATTGAAAGCCAATATTTAGTTATGCTTAATTAATTAAAGGTATGAAGACTAAGATTAGGTAGTTCATAGTATGGTTGCGATCCCCTTTCATTGTATATAATTTGCTTCACCTTGTTTTCGAAACTTGTTTTTATTTTCAAGGGGACCGAGAGGAACGAACATTGCCTGGGATCCATGGTATCCATGCTAATTTCTAGAGTCAATACCCTGACTTGGTAAATTCCATGGCATTATCAGTGAATCTTTCCACTCATGGCAACGCACTACAACTCTTCAAAAAGGTTGTTAGAGGGACTTTCATTTCGTATGCAAGTGACTGAAGAAGAGTCGTTGGTCGATCTCACCAGATGAGGACGGATAAATCTCGTTATACTGCAGCCGTTTGGCTTTCATACGACATTCAGTATAACGATATTTATCCGTCCTCATCTGGTGAGATCGACCAACGAATCACTTCGTCATTTACTCTCGTACGAAATGAAAGTCCCCCTAACAATGTTATTTCAAGAGATTCATCGAAACCCAGTCAACTAGAAAGATAAGCAAT